TCTGGTCAGCAGTTTATGATATAGATTGTTGAAGTATAATGGAAGGGAGGGGGGGGAGGGGGTAAGTTTCTCCATTAAAGCTGCTTTTGGATGTGTGTACTGGAGGACGTAAGGATCGGTGGCTGGTGTTAGGAGAAGCTGTCACTTAACACCTGACGAAGCTCCTGCTGTAAACACCCTCTGCTTACTTACCTGTGTTGTGACAAAGAAGACGTGTAACCTGCCAATTAAGGTATTAATTAACGGAGGAGGTTGTTGCCGGAAAAGGAAGAGAGAGAGAGAGAGAGAGAGAGAGAGAGAGAGAGAGAGAGAGAGAGAGAGAGAGAGTTTCACACACACACACAGGACACGAAGACAGCTCAGATTCATATAACAATATTCTCTTGTTATTTTCTTGCATTTTAATATTTTCTTGTTGGTCTTTCCATTTGGCCAACCAGAATGCGCCATCACGGAATATTAGAGTCCGTTTGATATGTAGATGAGTTAGTGAGAGACGAAGGTGTTGAAAGAGAGAGAGAGAGAGAGAGAGAGAGAGAGAGAGAGAGAGAGTCTTCAGGCACTCCTTAATCATTTTCACTAACACGTAAATTATCTCGAGTGACTCTGTGATGTAATTACCTAAACCGTCACGAAATTCCCAACAGTTACAGATTAATTACGAACCATCCTCAGGAATTACACCCAAATAATGTGACAAAAATCCTACAGTCATGAAACGTAATTTTTTTGGGGGGACGGTAAAAAAAATCACCTTCCCGAGCGTGAATAATTAATCTGTCTTTCATTTCTGCTTCAGATTCGACGATTTCATCCAATTAATTTCTACATATAATTCATTCACTAATTTATTCAGTTTATTTAATTCATTTATGTACTAAGTTAGTATTTTTTTTTAGGTTTAATTTTCAGGAGTAGAGAGAGAGAGGAAACAATGATGAAGAGAAGGAAAGAGATGATAAATAACTCGTTTTTTTCTCCTTTCCTTCTCTTCCACAGTATCTCTCACTACCTTCTCTTTCTCTTCTATATTATCTCTCGCCTTCTCCTCCTCCCGTTCAACATTAATTCTCACCTTCTCCCTCTCCTCTTCCACATTAACTCTCACTTATTCCACCTCTTCCACATTAGCTCTCACTTTCCTGTCCTCTTCCACATTTCTCTCTTTACTTTCTCTTCTACTCCTTTCTTTTACTCTTTCATCTCATTCCTACTCCTCCTCCTCCTTCCTTTACTCTGTCGTTTTATCACACTCCTTTATTTCCTTCCTTCCTTCCTTCCTTTATTCTATCTTACTCTGTTCCCCCTTTTATTTAGTTTCTTCTTATTTATTATATATCCCTCGTTATTCAATTTCTTCGTTATCTTAATCATCAGTAAAGACTAAAAACTATCATTGTAAAAATTATACTTATTCTTTTCTTCACTATTTATTACTTATCATAAAATTATATCAAAAGAAAAGGTGTCTATTAATTATAAGTATATTCTATTTTTTATTTATCTTATATTTATACATTTATTCACATGTATAAACTATATTCTATTCATTATCAATTTATGTATATATTTGCGTTTACAGGAACCCATCGTATAAATATTCCACAAATCATTTTTTTTTTAATATATTTTTACTTCATTACATTAGCTTATTACCTTTAACACTTCCTGTCTCTGTCGGTAATAAAACAATAATTATAATCACGTTAATTGATGCGCAGGTAAATAAAAAATAAGGTGATTTTATACTATGTTATTTAGCAGGTAAGCTTGTACAGGGTCTGTCTCTGTCTGTCTGTCTCTGTCTGTCTGTCTGTCTGTCTGTCTGTCTGTTTTCTTTGTTGTTTATCCATTTGTTTTGTTGTTTATTTGTTTTGGTGTTTATTTATTTATTTAATTATTTTCTTGTTTATTTGTTTTCTTGTTTATATATTTTTTTGTTTATCTATTTGTTTTGTTGTTACTTATTTGTTTTGTTGTTTATTTACTTGAGTATTAACCAATTTAGTTGTTTATTTAGTAGCTGAGAGGAAGAAGGTAAAAATATAGAATTAAAAAATGAGGAATTGAGAAGGAAGAAATAAAGAGAAGGAGAAAGAAGGGATAGCGGAAGAGAGAGGATAATTAAAGAGGAGGAGAAAGTGAGAGTTAATGTGGAAGAGGAGGAGAAGAAGGTGAGAGATAATGTGGAAGAGGAGTAGAAGGTGAGAGATAACGTGGAAGAGAAAGAGAAGAAGGAGAGAGATAATGTGGAAGAGGAGTAGAAGCTGAGAGATAACGTGGAAGAGAAAGAGAAGAAGGAGAGAGATAATGTGGAAGAGGAGTAGAAGCTGAGAGATAACGTGGAAGAGAAAGAGAAGAAGGTGAGAGATAATGTGGAAGAGGAGTAGAAGCTGAGAGATAACGTGGAAGAGAAAGAGAAGAAGGTGAGAGATAATGTGGAAGAGGAGTAGAAGCTGAGAGATAACGTGGAAGAGAAAGAGAAGAAGGAGAGAGATAATGTGGAAGAGGAGTAGAAGCTGAGAGATAACGTGGAAGAGAAAGAGAAGAAGGTGAGAGATAATGTGGAAGAGGAGTAGAAGGTGAGAGATAACGTGGAAGAGAAAGAGAAGAAGGTGAGAGATAATGTGGAAGAGAAAGAGAAGAAGGAGAGAGATAATGTGGAAGAGGAGGAGGAGAGAGCGAGAAATAATGTGGAAGAGAAGGAGGAGAAGGTGAGAGATAATGTGGAAGAGAAGGAAAGGAGAAAAACCGAGTTATCACTATCATCTCTTTCCTTCTCTTCATCATTCTTCTCTCTCTCTACTCCTGAAAAATTTGACCTAAGAAAATATACTTAATCAGTACATAAATGAATTAAATAAGCTGAATAAATTAGTGAATGATAAATAAATTGGGTGAAATCGTCGTATATGAAGCAGAAATGAAAGACAGATTAATTATTCACGCTCGGGAAGGTGATTTTTTTTACCGTCCCAAAAAATTACGTTTCATGACTGTAGGATTTTTGTCACATTATTTGGGTGTAATTCCTAATGATGGTTCATAATTAATCTGTAATTGTTAGGAATTTCTTGACGGTTTGGGTAATTACAACACAGAGTCACTCGAGATAATTTACGTGTTAGTGAAAATGATTAAGAAATGTCTGAAGACTCTCTCTCTCTCTCTCTCTCTCTCTCTCTCTCTCTCTCTCTCTCTCTCTTTTTCAACACCTTCGTCTCTCACTAACTCATCTACATATCAAACGGACTCTAATATTCCTTGATGCCTCATACTGGTTGGCCAAATGGAAAGACCAACAAGAAAATCGGAAAAATGCAAGAAAATAATAAGAGAATATTGTTAAATGAATCTGGGCTGTCTTCGTGTCTTCAGAGTGAGAAAATAAGTTAATTTATTCTACTCTGTTTATTTACATATTAGTTAACAAAGGTAATAGGGTAATAATAATCATATATATTTTTTTGGATTTTATTAGATTCTGTATTTTTTTTAGGTATAAACTGATTATTTTCCGTATAATTCATAGGTATTTTGAATTCAGCTGAGAGTTGCTTAGCGTTCTAACCAGACTCACCGTTACTTCGCTGATCAGACGAGATGTTTTTAACGTGACGGAAATGAAAAAAAAATTAAATAGTTGTTTTGATTGTCTTAAAAGGTAAAATTAATCAAGAAATACCTTTATTTTTTTTCTCAAGACTATAAAGAATATTTCACTTAACTCTGATAACCTTGATGGATGTGATGTATGAAGAATTATCGGGAAAAACAAAATATTAATAAAATGAGTAGTAAATATAAGTAAATTCTAGTATTATTTACACTTTTATTTCTTTGTTTTCTCTGTTTATCGTCTCCTCTATTGGCTTGATGTTTATTGCCGATTCTCTCACTTATCTCCCTCTCTGTGTCTCTCATCAATTCTCTCACCTCCAGTCATCAATTCTCTTATCTCCAGCCATCAATTCTCTTACCTCCAGCCATCAATTCTCTTACCTCCAGTCATCAATTCTCTTATCTCCAGCCATCAATTCTCTTACCTCCAGTCATCAATTCTCTTACCTCCAGCCATCAATTCTCTCACCTCCAGTCATCAATTCTCTTACCTCCAGCCATCAATTCTCTCACCTCCAGCCATCAATTCTCTTACCTCCAGCCATCAATTCTCTTACCTCCAGCCATCAATTCTCTCACCTCCAGCCATCAATTCTCTCACCTCCAGCCATCAATTCTCTTACCTCCAGCCATCACCCCACTCGCCAGACATCAATTCTCCACCGACATCAATTCTCTACTCCAGCCATCAATTCTTCCACCTCCAGCCATTAATTCTACTTCCAGCCATCACCCTCTTACCTCCGGCCATCAATTCTCTACCGCCAGCCATCAATTCTCTTACCTCCAGTCATCACCCTCTGTACCTCCAGCCAATCACCCTTCCTTACCGCCAGCTACCACCCTCTCACCGCCAGCCACCAATTCTCTCACCGCCAGCCATCAATTCTCTCACCGCCAGCCATCAATTCTCTCACCTCCAGCCATCAATTCTCTTACCTCCAGCCATCAATTCTCTTACCTCCAGCCATCAATTCTCTTACCTCCAGCCATCAATTCTCTTACCTCCAGCCATCAATTCTCTTACCTTCAGCTATCAATTCTCTCACCTCCAGCCATCAATTCTCTCACTTCCAGCCATCAAGTCTCTTTATGTATCTCATTCTCTAAACATCATCTCGACTGTTTTCTTAGATCGCCCTAAACCTCCTCGATAACTCTAAAACCTACTTATTTTTTCCTCGTTTTGTGTTTTCTCGCTCTCCCATTTTTCATCATTCTTGGGTTTTTTTCTTATTTTTCCCCTATTGTTTTATTCTTTTTTCTCTTTCCCCATTCCATTTTCTTCCCTTTCCTCCTGTTCCCTAAGCTTCTCTCTCTTCCATCTTCCTCTCATATTTCTCTCTCCTTATGCCTACTAAACTTCTCCCCTGGTTCAGGCGGTAGCTGGGTGCTTAGGGGAACCAAACTCCCCGAGCTTCGAACCCCTGAAGGTGACCACGCCTTCTGAGACGACCACACAGACAGAGAGAGCTGAGGAGAGGATCGCCATTGTGGACCTGGCGAGCAAGGAGAAGAAAATCGAGAAGAGAAAAGGTTTGTGAATATTATATCTAAGGAATTATATTCAGTCGTGGTAATATAAACCTGGTATAAGACACACTGATGATTATATAATATACAGGTTTGGATAAAGTTTATTCCACAAACATGAATGGTTATATTAAATGGCCTTTTCTTCCCTCTCAGCTGACAAGGGCAACATCCCTCCTCCTCCCTTGTACCAACTGCCGAGTGACTCAGGATTCTCCGTGTTACCTCTTCCCTTGGAGCCCATCAGCCTCACCTACCCTCAACCTCAGGGCTCTTCACCCTCTTCCTTAGGCTCGAATTACGTCGCCCCGTCGCAAGATATTTCCCAACCAAGTGGCTCCTACGTGGCCCCAGCGTCGTTAAGTTTTGGAGGCATCAATTTTAACAGTGGCAATTCAGGATCCTCAGTTAGGGGCCCTAGTAGTGTGTATTCATCCGCGCCAACACCTAGTCAACCCTCCCAGGGATACTCGGCCCCATCAGTGACGTCATCAGCACCAAGCCAATCATACGGCGGGGTGACTCTGGACTCATTCATTGGTATATTTGACTCCGACATCAATGGGTATGATGACGTCAGTGGGGACACATTCATCATTGACGGTAATGATATAGGTCAGAGTTACGAGGAACCAGGACTCTCCTACAATACTCCCCCGGCAGCGTCCCCTTCATACAGTGATCCTTTTATACCCAGCCCCTACTACAGCGCCCCAAGTGGAGGTTCTGGAGGAGGAGGTAGTGGAGGAGGATACGGAGGTGGTGGGAGTTCCGAAGGAGGAGGTGGAGGAGGAGGAGGAGGAGGATACGGAGGTGGAGGAAGTTCTGGAGGAGGAGGAGGAGGAGGAGGAGGAGGAGGAGGAGGTGGTGGAAGCTCTGAAGGAGGAGGTGGAGGAGGAGGATGCGGAGGTGGTGGAAGTTCTGTAGATGGAGGTGGTGGAGCATCTGGAGGTGGTGGAAGTTCTGGAGGAGAAGGAGGAGGAGGATACGGAGGTGGTGGTGGAAGTTCTGGAGGAGGAGGAGGAGGAGCAGCGAGGTGGTGGAAGTTCTGGAGGAGGAGGTGGTGGAGCAGGAGGCGGTGGAAGTTCTGGAGGAGGAGGTGGTGGAGCATGGAGGTGGTGGAAGTTCTGGAGGAGGAGGAGGAGGAGGAGGAGGATATGGAGGTGGTGGAAGTTCTGAAGAGGTGGAGGAGGAGGGAGGAGGAGGAGGAGGTGGTGGAGGAGTACGGAGGTGGTGGAAGTTCTGGAGGAGGAGGAGGGAGGATACGGAGGTGGTGGAAGTTCTGGAGGAGGAGGAGGAGGAGGAGCATACGGAGGTGGTGGAAGTTCTGGAGGAGGAGGAGGAGGAGGAGGAGGAGGAGGAGGAGGAGGAGGCAGGAGGTGGTGGAAGGGAGGAGGAGGAGGAGGAGGTACGGAGGTGGTGGAAGTTCTGGAGGAGGAGGAGGGGTGGAGGAGGATACGGAGGTGGTGGAAGTTCTGGAGGAGGAGGAGGAGGAGGATGGAGGTGGTGGAAGTTCTGGAGGAGGAGGAGGAGGAGCATACGGAGGTGGTGGAAGTTCTGGAGAAGGTGGAGGAGGAGGAGGATACGGAGGTGGTGGAAGTTCTGGAGGAGGAGGTGGTGGAGGAGGATACGGAGGTGGTGGAAGTTCTGGAGGAGGAGGAGGAGGAGGAGCATACGGAGGTGGTGGAGTTCTGGAGAAGGTGGAGGAGGAGGAGGATACGGAGGTGGTGGAAGTTCTGGAGGAGGAGGAGGGAGGAGGAGGATACAGAGGTGGTGGAAGTTCTGGAGAAGGTGGAGGAGGAGGAGGAGGATACGGAGGTGGTGGAAGTTCTGGAGGAAGGTGGAGGAGGAGGGAGGATACGGAGGTGGTGGAAGTTCTGGAGAAGGTGGAGGAGGAGGTGGATACGGAGGTGGTGGAAGTTCTGGAGAAGGTGGAGGAGGAGGAGGACAGGAGGTGGTGGAAGTTCTGGAGGAGGGAGGTGGTGGAGGAGGATACGGAGGTGGTGGAAGTTCTGGAGGAGGAGGTGGTGGGGGAGGAGGTGGTGGAGGGAGGAGGTGGTGGTGGAGGAGGATAGGAGGTGGTGGAAGTTCTGGAGAAGGTGGAGGAGGAGGAGGATACGGAGGTGGTGGAAGTTCTGGAGAAGGTGGAGGAGGAGGAGGATACGGAGGTAGTGGAAGTTCTGGAGGAGGAGGATGGGAGGTGGTGGAAGTTCTGGAGAAGTTGGAGGAGGAGGGAGGATGGGAGGTGGTGGAAGTTCTGGAGGAAGAGGTGGCGGAGGATACGGAGGTAGTGGAAGTTCTGGAGGAGGAGGATACGGAGGTGGTGGAAGTTCTGGAGGAGGAGGTGGTGGAGGGAGGATACAGGAGGTGGTGGAAGTTCTGGAGGAGGAGGATACGGAGGTGGTGGAATTTCTGGAGAAGTTGGAGGAGGAGGAGGATGGAGGTGGTGGAAGTTCTGGAGGAAGAGGTGGCGGAGGATGGGAGGTAGTGGAAGTTCTGGAGGAGGAGGATACGGAGGTGGTGGAAGTTCTGGAGAAGTTGGAGGAGGAGGAGGATACGGAGGTGGTGGAAGTTCTGGAGGAGGAGGATGGAGGAGGAGGAGTTCTGGAGGAGGAGGATACGGAGGTGGTGGAAGTTCTGGAGGAGGAGGATGGGAGGTGGTGGAGTTCTGGAGGGGTGGCGGAGGAGGATCGGAGGTAGTGGAAGTTCTGGAGGAGGAGGATGCGGAGGTGGTGGAAGTTCTGGAGGAGGAGGTGGTGGAAGTTCTGGAGGAGTAGGAGGAGGAGGAGGAGGATACGGAGGTGGTGTAAGTTCTGGAGGAGGAGGATGCGGAGGTGGTGGAAGTTCTGGAGGAGGAGGATACGGAGGTGGTGTTTTGAAGGAGGAGGTGGAGGCGCATACGGGAGGTGGTGGAAGTTCTGGAGGAGGAGGTGGAGGAGGAGGATACGGAGGTGGTGGAAGTTCTGGAGGAGGAGGTGGAGGAGGAGGATACGGAGGTGGTGGAAGTTCTGGAGGAGGAGGTGGAGGAGGTAGTACATCTTACGGTGCACCACCATCGCTCAGTACCTCTTATGGTGCACCACCAGCACCCAGTACATTTTATGGTGCACCACCAACAGAACCAAGTACTTCATATGGTGCACCGCCAGCACCCACTACTTCGTATGGTGGTCCTGAGGCTCCAAGTGCATCATATGGTGCACCACCATCGCCCAGTACCTCTTATGGTGCACCACCATCGCCCAGTACCTCTTATGGTGCACCACCATCGCCAAGTACCTCTTATGGTGCACCACCATCGCCCAGTACCTCTTATGGTGCACCACCACCATCGCCCAGTACCTCTTATGGTGCACCACCTTCGCCCAGTACCTCTTATGGTGCACCACCATCGCCAAGTACCTCTTATGGTGCACCACCATCGCCAAGTACCTCTTATGGTGCACCAGCATCACCCATTACCTCTTATGGTGCGCCACCATCACCAAGTTCATCTTACGGTGCACCATCAGCACCCAGTACCTCTTATGGTGCACCACCATCATCAAGTTCATCGTATGGTGCACCATCAGCACCCAGTACCTCTTATGGTGCACCACCATCACTCAGTACATCTTATGGTGCACCACCATCACTCAGTACCTCTTATGGTGCACCATCATCTTCTGGGGGCGGCAGCTCTTACAGTTCCAGCTTCAGTGTCTTCCATTTGGGTGGAGACTCTTCTGAGAGTGGTGGTGGTGGAGGTGGTGGAGGAGGTTATGGTGGCGACAGTTCTATGTATTATGGTGGGAGGTGGTGAGGCGGTGGAGGAGGCGGTATGACAGTCTGGCGGCCATGGTGGAGGTGGTGGAGGAGGAGGTTATGGTGGCGACAGTTCTGGCGGCCATGGTGGAGGTGGTGGAGGTAGCAGTAGCTACAGTGATACCAGCTCTGGCGGCGACGAAGGTTACGGTGGTGGTGGCGGAGATTTTGGTGGTGGAGACGGAGGCTATGGCGGTAGTGGTGGTGGCGGCGGGGGAGGCCATGGTGGCGGCAGTGGAAGGCGTGCTGCCTTGTGGAGGTAGTGGTGGCGGAGGCCATGGTGGTGGCGGCGTCTATGGTGGTGGCGGCGGGGAGGCCATGGCGGCGGTGGAGGATGGCGGAGGCCTTGTGGAGGTAGTGGCGGCGGAGGCCATGGTGGTGGCGGCGTCTATGGTGGTGGTGGTGGCGGTGGGTCATGGTGGCCATGGCGGTGGAGGCGGCTATGGTGGTGGAGGTGGCGGAGGTCATGGTGGGTGGAGGCGGCAGGGTGGGAGGTGGCGGAGGTCATGGAGGCGGTTATGGTGGTGGAGGTGGCGGTGGCCATGGTGGTGGCGGTGGAGGCAGCTATGGTGGTGGCAGCAGTCATAGTGGAGGAGGCGGCTACGGTGCCCGACCACACAGACCAAGGCCTCGCCCTAGTCCTCTTAAAGGTATAATCGACAAGTTTAAAGGCATCTTCAGTTTTAGGGGTTAATTACCTTGGCACACCTGCTAATGATAGGAGACTGTGATGTGTATGAAACGTGTTAGTCATCAGATCATGGGTCACTTTAATGATATTTTTATACTAAGTAAAATATTAAAAGTCGGGACCTTTTGTATGTACGTGTAAATATTATTGTTTGTTATCTTTGTTATTATGTATTTTTCCACATTGTTAAAAATGTAGATACTAAATAAAATATAAACTGATAATTTGACACTTTTTTCATCCAATATAATAATAATAAAAATAATAATAATAATAATAATAATAATAATAATAATAATAATAATAATAATAATAATAATAATAATAATAATAATAATAATAATAATAATAATAATAATAATAATAATAATAATAATAATAATAATAATAATAATAATAATAATAATAATAATAATAATAATAATAATAATAATAATAATAATAATAATAATAATAATAATAATAATAATAATAATAATAATAATAATAATAAATAATCAAGAGGAATGGAGTTAATAAATATTGCCATAAAAGACTTTCTGTGACGTGAAAATGGCTCCCATAGTCATGACAGAGTGGAGACAACACAAGCAGGATCACGGCCTGGGATCTATAGCATTACCTCGCATATAGTTATCGGATCCTCTTGTCCCTGGTGGTATTTTGGTTAATTTGTAAAGTACCATAACGACAAGAAGGCTACATCACAAGGCCTCAGTTAACAGTGTTGGCGCTAAGAAAAAAGAATAGATTGAGTTTTGTCTTATGAAGCTTGGATTTGCGGCCTTGTGTTACTCTCACATGGTCAACAATAGCACTGAAATACATTGGTTTGTGGACCTAAGAGGACCATGTTCAACTCGTATTTGTCACATAAGGCCATAAGTCTCACCCCACTGCACCGTGTCCCTTTGATTCACATAGTAGCCAATGAAAAGGCACCCGTCACCCGCCACACCTCCCAGCTGAGCCAATGACGCAGCGAGTAGACCCGCTTCTGCCAATGGGTGCATATCTGGGACACATGGGCCGCAATTCATGACACTCATACACAAAACTTGTAGAACAAAAATCTTCGAAATAAAACAAACCCCACCTCGATATCTTTATTGGTTGTGGAGTAACAAATGAAAAACTTAAGGGGCTTGTTTCTCACTTTTTAAAAATTGGCGCTTGCGGCCTTGTGATTCTAAGGCCCTCATATACACAGTGTGATACTAATGTTAAGTTCTAATGTACACTAAATACGTTATCTAAAATTATAAATAACATAATGATTTTTTATTTATTTAGAGGTTGGCAGATTTAATTTATTTGTTTGTTTTATATTTATATAACAAAATTAGTATATTTATAGATTTCGTTTATAAGTAACTTTTTTTTTATTGATATTGAGTAAAGAAATACGTCATAGGGTACTGAACCTGGGTGGAGTAATGTTGGGCTTCAGTAATCACATTAAGCTTTGCTCCCCAGCTTATCTGACCTGAAGTTTATCCATCTTAAGACCAAAATAATGTACAGTGAGGTTGATACAGTAATATGGTTACAAAAATACAAACGAATGTATGAGGGGGAGGGGGAGGGAGGGGCAGCATCTATTTCCTGGACTATTTTTATGTTGTTATTCAGGTGAGTGTGGACCTCATTAGTCACCTGAAGATTTTTTCCTTAAGGTTATCATATTTCACCAGGAATTTAACCACCCTGACGCTACCTGGGGGAGGGGGAACTAATCATCAGGTGAATTAATAACTGCTCAAATTGCCTAATATCTCAATCTCGGTTTTATTTCGTTTTCTAAAAATTTCATTCTCGGAAGGTAGGTCTCGGTTAGGTCTCTGTCTGGACACTTAGGTCTCGATTTCGATCTCGGACTTATTGGTCTCGTCTCTATCACTGTGAGGAAGTGGTCATATAAAGACCCCCCTCGGCTCATGGGATATCAACACAACAGAGATGAGTATATTTTTCTCCCATGTCATCAGCAAACCCAAACAACTTTTTTTAAACGTGATAACTAACTTTCCCCAAACTACTTACTTCTCTCACACTGGTTTATTACTGTCTCGACAATTGACGGTAAACAGGAAGTGCCGACAGAAGGCTCGACATTCTATAAAGTGTGAACAGCTGTCACGGCTCTGAGTCCTTGGCTAGACGACCTTCACAGACAAGTCAGTTGGTCTCTTTAAGCTCTTGCATTTTTCAGACAACCTCAAAGACATTTTACACGAGTGGCCAGCAAGAGAAGAGGGCTGGACCAGTAGGGACAGAGGGATGGACCAGTAGGAACATGGGGTTGGACTTCTAGGAACAGAGGAATGGACCAGTTGGAGCAGAGTGGACCAGTAGGAACAAGGGGTTGGACCAGTAGGAACAGAGGGCTAGATGGACCAGGAGGAACAGAGGGTTAGACCAGGAGGAACACAGGGATGGACCAGGAGGAACACAGGGATGGACCAGGGGGAACACAGGAATGGGCTTAAGGTTGGTGGGTTTTAGAAAATACTAAATTATGTTTTGGAAGTGTCTCAATCCGCTTAACGACCATCCACTTAACGACCATCCGCATAACGACCATCCTCATAACGTACATGCTTCAGGAACACTTTATGTACATTAATACTAGCTGTATTTTTATTTAAGTAACTGTATAAGCAATAACGGCCATCACAACTACATTCTTAATAAACTACAAAATATAATCACTGTCATTACTACTTGACAAAAACATAATCTATAAAAATCTCAATATAATTCCAATTTTCATTATGTATGTATTTGTTATCACAGAAGACTAGATTAAAATTACCCTTCTCTACAGCTCTTCGGCTTGTAACCAGAGGAAGCTGTCATCCTCGCGAGAAAGCAGACTCGTTATATCGTGTCCCGTACAATCTCAGGGTCACCAAGATTAGTTTTTCCACACATTACATCAATTGAATTCGTTTAACCACTTATGTATGGGATCCCCTCAGTGTTGAATATAATCGTCTGGCGTTGATTAAATAAAATATTAAAATGGCGTCCCTGTAGTGAAGGGGTTAATGTTTGAAGGTCCCTGTAGTGAAGGGGTTAATCTTTGAAGGTCCCTGTAGTGAAGGGGTTAATGTTTGAAGGTCCCTGTAGTGAAGGGGTTAATCTTTGAAGGACCCTGTAGTGAAGGGGTTAATGTTTGAAGGTCCCTGTAGTAAAGGGGTTAATGTTTGAAGGTCCCTGCAGCAAAGGGGTTAATGTTTGAAGGTCCCTGTAGTGAAGGGGTTAATGTTTGAAGGTCCCTGTAGTGAAGAGGTTAAGGCTTCAAGGTCCCTGTAGTGAAGAGGTTAATGTTTGAAGGTCCCTGTAGTGAAGGGGTTAATGTTTGAAGGTCCCTGTAGTGAAGAGGTTAATGTTTGAAGGTCCCTGTAGTGAAGGGGTTAATGTTTGAAGGTCCCTGTAGTGAAGAGGTTAAGGCTTCATGACCAAAGGATTTACCTGTAAGCGGTGACTTAAGTTTATCTCATTTAACATCACTAAAATAACACAAGAAATCAATAGTTAAATTTCTTCTGTATTTTAAATAATGTTAATAAAAAATGAATATATGAACAATATTACTAAAACTTTTATAAGTGTATTGAAATTACTACTATTATAGGTTAGGTTAGGTTAGGTAAAAACACAACACTATACCTAAAATATCACCATTTATCATCCCTTACCATTGAAATTGTGTAATTCTCTTTTGGTTGAAAATTACGACAATCATCCCCAATAAACCTAACCTAACCTAACGTGACCTAACCTAACCAAATGACAGACTAATGGTAAACATAAGAACAATAATGATAATACTCGAGTCTTATCGCCACCACTAAGCTCTGTACACTACGTTGTTACCTGCAGACACCTTTAATTAGTTTACCTCAAGTCTGATCACGTTCAGCTTACCTTTATCACGGTAAGTCTGTCTCTCCTGGCAGTCTGTTATCACGTTAATTAAACCTGTCTTTCTCCTCGCCGTCTCTATCACGTTAAATCTCTCTCTCTCTCTCTCTCTCTCTCTCTCTCTCTCTCTCTCTCTCTCTCTCTCTCTCTCTCTCTCTCTCTCTCTCTCTGTCTGTCTGTCTGTCTGTCTGTCTCTCTCTCTCTCTCTCTCTCTCTCTCCTTTCTTTCGGTCTCTAACATGTTAATTAAACCTTTCTGTCGAGGTCTCTATCACATTAATTAAATGCCTCTCCTCGCGGTCTCTATCTTGTTCAATCTGTCTCTTCTCGCTGTCTCTGTCACGTTACGCCTGTCTCGTGAACTCGGTCATGTTAAACCTGTATCTCCTCGCGGTCTCTATCATGTTCAACGCGTTCATATCTCGTTACGCCTGTCTCGTGAACTCGGTCATGTTAAACCTGTATCTCCTCGGGGTCTCTTCATTGTAATAGTTTCCTTACTCCCATGTACACCATTGAAACCCACAGCAGTTTTCAACCTAAGGGAATCGAATCCGTTTGCACCCGAAGGCATTTTGCATGTCTGTCTCAGTGAAAGTACAGCAATAAAGACCTTACGTATGATAATTAGGTCGTTTGAAGTAAGTTATGATGGGTAATTGGCCCTTTTCGCCTGGTTAGTGATGATCTCGGGCGTAATAGAGAGTTTTAAAAGACAAATGAGCTATACCTGTAAGTGTTAAGGTGAGATCGGTTACTCTCCGTTTGTCTGTCGTATTGTTGTAGATTTTCATTCATTTCGTTTTATTATTTTATTATCATGAATTGACACTTTTATTATTATTATTATTATTATTATTATTATTATTATTATTATTATTATTATTGCTATTATTATTATTATTATTATTATTATTATTATTATTATTATTATTATTATTATTATTATTATTATTATTATTATTATTATAGTTATTCATTTTCTTCTTTACTTATTCATACACTAGCATCATTCGCTTTAGCTTACACTTTTCCCATTTCCCTTCATCAAGTCTTCCCTGTACACTGTCTAGTCTTCCCACGCCGTTCATCTTGCCACGCAGTTTCAATTTCCTGTGGTCTGCCCCTCCTTGCTCTCTCTCTCTCTCTCTCTCTCTCTCTCTCTCTCTCTCTCTCTCTCATACTCACTCTCTCTCTATCTCTCTCACTCTCCTCCTCACGCACAACTCTTAATTCCCGCCATCCTGAGAAAGAATTTGATCCAGCGTCCATGACTGTGAAAATGCCAATAACCCCGCGGTCTCTCTCTTCTCTAAAATAATAATAAGAGTTCAGATGTGGAGTTGTGAAATATTTTGGTAGATAATATATTACTGGAGTATCTGCCTGGGGTTTATTTTGAGCTGTTAAAGAGGAATTCTTTTTGAGGTTTGGTTTGGTTAGGTTAGGTTAGCGATGTTTTGACCATATGGGTTGTATATATAAAGATGTATGGAGATGTTTTTTGCGTGTGTGTCAGATTTACGTATTTTTGATGAGATATTTTGTTTAGTGTTGTGTTTTGTTAAGGGTTTCTGAGCGTCCATCTTGTATAGCGTCAAGATAATGTTGTATAATATATAGAAATTTCTCTTATGATCCTAAGTTCAAGTATTTCTGTATTTTTTCCCCGACGTGTTTTACAATTTTAATTATATATTTTTTAGAGATAAATCGTGATAAATATTTAACCTGTTCTCTTTATGATAAATATTTATGCAAAAATCAAACAAATAAATAAAATAAAAATATTCAGTGTTAGTTTGGGTCATATTCAGTAAAAGTATAAATTTGGTGTGTTTTTCCGTCGACACGTTGCAAAATAAACAAGGTAGGTTTTTTCTGTTCATTCTGATGCTGACGTGTTCTCATTTATAACTGTAAATCGTGGAGTATTTACAAGCCTGACGGTGGCAAATGACCTACGCACAATATTCTGAAATTGTTGAACCTTTGGTGTTTTTATTGCACTACGAACGAAACGATGAACATAATTTATCACCTTCAATTACATAAAAAAAATCTAATTACTTCGTTTTTAATTTTTTGTAATATTTTATTTGTTTATATATTTATTTGTTTATTTGTTTGTTTTACTTGTTTGTTTGTTTGTAAGTAAACATATCCGTAATATGTCAACTTTCCTTTTATCACTCTAATTTCACTCCCCAGAACGCCTTATGATTCTTATGTCATCAACTCTTCAACAATCCATCCTGTAATCCAATGATACCCACGTGAACATTAATCACAAAAACAATGGAATTTATTTACCATAAAATCTTCACCTCACTCCATCCCCCCCCCCAAAAAAAAAATCCTTCTCTCCTTTAATTGTACTTCTAAAAAAATAAAAATCTCCAGCTTAAAATTCATCCCTTAAGAAATCGATCGTGTGTTCTCGATATCCACCTGTCGATAAAGTTATCCAGCGAGTCACCTGGGGGCTGGTCGGGTGTTGAAGGGCGGAGTCACCACACCCCAGCCTTTGTTCTCCGTCAGAGTCCAAACAAAGCCACTTTTGAGGTAAGGCGGGGCAGTGGGGGTGAGTGGGGGAAGAGGGCGAGGGTATAGGGAAGAGGAGTGGGAACAGGGAAGTGGAGTGGGGGTGAGAGTGGGAGGATGTAAAAGAGGAGAGTCGAAAGGGTAAGAGCAGAGGGTGAAGGATAGTGGGATAAAAGAGGAAGAGGAGCGGTAGAAGAGAAAGGAAACGAGGGGTAAAATAGTGAGAGGAAATGAAGGGTGGAAGGGTGAGCGAATGGTAGGGATGAGAGAGAGAGAGAGAGAGAGAGAGAGAGGGTGATAATGTGAGAGAGAGACAGAAGATGGTGTGGAGGGGAACATGAGAAAGGGTAATGGGAGTAAAAGAGTAAAAAAATAAGAAAAGGAAGAGGATGAACGAATGGATAGAATAAGAGAGAAAAAATAAAGAATACTACAGAATTAAGTATAGCGAACGATGAGACGCATGGATTGATGAAAGGTAGAAGAAGAAGAAGGGAGAGAAGGAGAACAGAGTGATGACAAGAGACGGGAGGGAAGGGGAAAAGGTTAGTAAAGGGGGGGAGAGGGAGGGGGGTGGTGAGAGAGAAGAAAATGATGAAGTGAGAGGAAAGAGAGGTGAGAAGTGGCGGTTCCTCCCACACTTGAGATATGTCCCAAGAGTGCTCGACGATCCGGGATATTGACAGATGATCCGCCTCTCGTTTCACCCACTTTTCACCTCCCTCGTGTCTTGGCCGGACCTCCCCCGTGTCTTGGTCGGACCTCCCCCGTGTCTTGGCCGGACCTCCCTCGTGTCTTGGCCGGACCTACCCCGTGTCTTGGCCGGACCTCCCTCGTGTCTTGGCCGGACCTCCCTCGTGTCTTCTTTGGCTGACCTCTCAGGTGTCTTGGTCGGACCTCCTCGTGTCTTGGTCGGACCTCCCCCGTGTCTTGGCCGGACCTCCCACGTTTTAATAGTGCCTTAAGGCTTTGGCCAAACCTCTTGATCTTAACCGCATCGTCATTTAGGTTAGGTTAGGTTAGGTTAGGGACATTGAAAACTTTGCTAAATAATGAGAAAAAGTGATGTATTAATTTTAGGTGGACAGATATCTTAGAGGGCCTCCAGGATCTGAGGCTATTATGAATGATCTTTATTTTTGTCTCTATTTTTCTATTTTGGGAATAACTTGAGGCGTAGCGGAGAGGGATGGAGAGGGTGTGGGTGAAGTACAGGGGTTCGATGTATCTCTCCTTGTGTACTGTGTGTAGTTTGTCTCTCCTTGTGTACTGTGTGTAGTGTGTCTCTCCTTGTGTACTGTGTGTAGTGTATCTCTCCTTGTGTACTGTGTGTAGTGTGTCTCTCCTTGTGTACTGTGTGTAGTGTGTCTCTCCTTGTGTACTGTGTGTAGTGTGTCTCTCCTTTGTACTGTGTGTAGTGTGTCTCTCCTTGTGTACTGTGTAGTGTG